TTAAATAACAACACACAAAATGCAATGGTTGTTCACCACAATTTTGATATGTGGAATGTTACTTTCATTAAAAGAGAAAATCATCCACTGAGACGAAACCCAGGGTCACAAACTCACATCTATCCAACCAAATATGTTAGCTCTATCTCTGATATTGAGCGCTTTCTAATAAGTACCGCGCATATAATATATAAATAATTATACATATATATATTTATTTATATTTATATACACTTTTCACACACACACATATATATATATATATATATATATATATATATCAGTATTTTAATGATTCTTATTTTTAACTTATTAATTATGTCTGTTATGGTGGATGATGTGGTTGAGGTGGTTTTAATTCGTAGGTCTTTGAGTTTATCAGCATAAGTAAATGGAGTTGTTGGTAAAGATATATATTATCTTTACTTACAACAGTATTACATATATATATTCATAATATAGCGTGTCTTATACAGAAAAAGAGTTCGTTGAAGGTGAATTATATCTGAAATTCTCACTGCGTTTTATTCGGTGGGTCTCTGTCCAAGGTGAATGAGAGACGAAAACGAATAGTGAGTCAGAACGCCATTAACACAACAACAAAACAAGTACTACGGAAGCCCATCAAGGAAACCATCAAACATTCAATGCTACAATTCTTATTTTAATTACCATGAATAAATAGGTGACTGCTGGCTGAAGATGCTCATTTTAGTGAACACGGAAAATGCGGTCACATAATATCATCAGGAACCGCATGGCACGATAAGTTTAGACGTAGAAATAACTGCTCCGTTACGACGCGTTCATTCGTCCGATTTTACCAACGTCATTAAAACCGGAAGAAGAGTCTGGTCACGACCATTACAAACCGGAAGAAGAGTCTGGTCACGACTATTAAACCAATTCTTACGAAGGAAATCTATCCTATTCTATGTGAAAAAAATCACACAAAATTAAATTGGCTTTTATATCGGAGTGAGATTTACATTAACCACTGTCTAAAATCAAATATAAATCACATCCCGATCTAAAAGTCAAAGTTTAACGTTGTTAATTAATTGATTTGCTTTTTACGGCTTATCAACCCTTTGCAGCTTATTTAAAGCCGAAAAATATTTTTAGATTTTAAGAAATATATATTTTTATAGATAATAATGATTTAGTTATACAAGTCTTACTAATTAACCCATAGCTGGAGGGAGAAAAAGTGGATTCATATATTTCCCAAGGATATTTCCGCGTAAGTGAATATAACGAACCTAACTGAAATTGGAACTCGGCTCTCCGATTAACAATTCCGAGCCATTATCCATTACACCACCTGCACATCCAAACTTACAACATCTGGTATTCCTAAGCGGTCACACATCTCGAAACTGACCAGGATCGACCTTGCTTAACTTCGGTGATCATACACAAACCGGCGAAGTTTAACTTTGCCCGGCACAAGGTCAAAGAGTAGGGAAATATGTAATAAAATGATAATGTTGCCCCAAATCTCTCAAGAAGTTAGGACATTTGTTTTCGTTGAAATGTAGCATCTCTCAGAGAGTTATCATCTCTTCATTGTGTTCACGGCTCGTAGGGGTCATCTGGGTATACATAAGTTCCTATCAGGCATTAGAGTGATTTCTATTTTTTCCAGCTTTGAAATCAACTTGTGGGGATCTCCTTGTATTATCCCTCTGTCTAAAATGACATTATCGCTCAATGAGGGAAAATAAGCAGTTTTCTATTGAAGTTTTTTCCCACTTAAAATATTCTTACCGAACAGTAAACACGATAAAGTTCTGTACAGTCAGTAGGGGCAACATGTTCCAAAAGAAAAATAATTTGCGGTATTCTGCCCTTCAGAATCTTAAAAAAAATAGATCGAGGTAAAATATTTGGACCTGGAATTATTTCAGACATCATGCGTTCACCAATTGGTTATACGTTAGACTGTTTACAAAGACATTTTGCGAAAGCTCCCCGACAGCAAAATCAAGGGAAAAGCACTACATTTTTCGCAGGGACTTTACCGTGTTCCTTTTTTAAGTACCGTATATATCCGCGTATAAGGCGAATAAGACGATGTAAAAAATATGCATTTATTCTATACCTGTAATATAAGACGACTGCTTATTGATTATATAAAGATAATGTTATTGGAAGTGTTGTTACTGTATCCTTAGAAATTCAAAATAAACAAAATAAGAAAACCAATTCTATATCATGTTTTTCCTACACACATCCCCTAAAAGGGAAACCATTGTTTTGTTTACCTTTCAAGTGATCGCTCGTGAATACTGATTCTACTTCTTCATCCTCTTCTTTTTCTATATCTAAACAGTCACAAACAGCCTGGTGTACTAATGACCATTTATTTATACTTCATCGACAATCACAAAATACCGTACAAAATTAACACATTCCATTGCTGTGAACGTAATCATAACTCGATGTTTACATTTTCTCAGTTAAGCTTGCATGGATACAAGTTGATTTCGTTGATATAGAATTATTCTTCAAATAGGCAATTTATTATGAAGTTATGCTAGCAATATATAAGAAATGGTTTTATTACTTTTATTATCAGTTTATTTAATAATGTGAATCTTTTCATGTACGTTATTGGTTATCGCACCAAGGTCAAGGTTAACCTACTGACAAACATCACTCAGAATTTTAGGTTTCTTTTTTAGAATTGTAGTATAAGACGACCAAGGGTGATTTTGTGGATGAAAAGGCTGTCTTATACGCGGAAATATGCGGTTAATAAAGCAATCAAAGTACCCAACAGATTTTTAATTCTATTTAAACTAAGACAACCCCGAGTAACCTTAATTAATTTATACAATAAGTATATAGTTATACGAAAAACGGTTTGTCGATTTTCATTTTATTAAATAACAACTTGAGGTGACTAAGATTTTTATCGATACAAGTTTGCAACATAAATTGCTGACTTTCAAGTCGATAGAAAATATAGAGTTGACTTTATCACTTATACAGATATAGACTTCAAACTGAATAAAAAAAAAAGAACGAATATTTGAATAAAAAAAGTTAATGAAATTTCTACAAAAATCTTTTTAAAGCAAATCACATTACAATTTTATATTTTATTTCATCCTATTAATAAAATTTTCTATTCTTTCATCACAGCTAATCGAGAATTCTTGACCGTAGAAGCAGAAAATCACCCGAGGTTATCGCCTCTTAACTAACTCTCCACTGGAAGAAGGAATGAAAATAGACGAACGGAAAAGCTTGCAATTCGTTTGATGTATGGCGAAGAAACTCAACCGTGAAATTAATTCAGATTGCCAAAATGTCAGGGTTAGGAAACAAAATACCGATTCAAAGTTTGAAACCGCGATGATCAATCATCGATGAAATAAGGAAAGCAATTGGACAATGAGATCAGGTTTGGGGCGTTTTCAATGAAAATAATTTTAAAAAAATGCTTTTGAATGAATAGCCCAAGGTTCACAATGTAACAACACATTTTCTGCTATTACCTAGAGAAAACCAATTCTATACCATATTTTTAGGGAGAAGTTATGTTAGTAGCATGAACTTTTTGTGTCAAGATATCTGGCAATGATGGAGGGTAAGTTGGGTTGGAGCCTTTCCAAAAGTGTGACTTGAATTCTAGCAATTTTATCCAAAATTTTAAATCAACTGATTCTACTTCACCATTCGATAACGACGACATCACTTGGCATGTGTAAGCTTTTTGCTTGTATCAACAATAAAAGGGACCTACATAATCGCCATTGAAAATCAATAAAAAATCAATAAAATCGAAGTCCTCTCAACAAAACGGATTCTCATTTAACTTATCGGATTTCAAAGTTGCAAAATTGATTTAAATTTAAACAATATGTGTGACGGGGAATAGAAGGAAGTGTGAGCTAAGATTGTGTTACGCCAATGTGACAAAGGGTTATATTCAATATAATAAAAATCATTACTATGGTGCTTATGCTATTTATCTAGAGATTCTTGACAAAATCTCCAAAAATATCTGCAATGTTATCGGTCCTGATCTGGCACCTTGGCATCAATCATTTTACCGACGCCATAACGTATCTTTCCTGTACCTTTTCTATAAATATTTCCATGGCAATTGTTCTGGTGAGCTTTTCTCTTTGGTACCTCGACTTCATGAATTTAAGCGTAGTACTCGATTGGTAGTTAGGTCTCAACCTTTTACTGTTGAAATTGCGAAGTGTAAGCGTAAGTTCTGTTCTAATAGTTTTTTTTTTTGGGGGGGGTTCGCTTGCACTTCTCACCTGCGGAACTCTCTTCTGGGTTCATGTTTTCCTGTCAACTACGATCTTCAAAAGTTTGAATGTAACATCAATCATCATCTTCTGTCATTTGAATCATGTTGTTTATTGTCCTTTTCACTCAATAACGTTTTCTCAGTTTTTTTTTTCTTCACTCTCATTAACCCCCTTGCGTCTTAGTGGCTTCATCACCTTGCTTGGAGAAAAAAAATTTAATTGTATTGTCTGTAATATACCGAGAAAATCAGCATAGGTGTCGATCGATTTGATACATGTAGCAAGATATGATTTATTTGTTTATTTCTTTCTTGCTAGATTGATACGGGGAATACAGTTACTTTTAGAAATGTTTGGTGTCACCCAGATCGGGAATTAACAGATAACAACACAAAAGGGAGAGTTATATTCTTGTAGAAGACCGAAGAGAATATTCTCCGAAATGTAATCATAAGCATAGACGTTAGGCCGAAGAATTCTATTTATCGAAAACAGATTTTTACTTCGGAGACAAAAAGATTTTAAACCAAAATAATGTGAAAAGAAAGAGAATATTTTGACAAAGATTCTCTTTTGAAAATATAATATAAAATAAAAATCTCTGTTGTATTTTAGTCACACTTCGCGATTCTGGAGACATAAATATACCCGGGGTATGATTGCTTGGATATCTAAAAATTATTACGTTTGTCAAAGATAAAAATAGAGAGAGGGGCGTAGAGACTAAAGCAGAAACAGTGAGGGATATAGAGAGTAAAAAAGAAAGATAAAGAGAGGGATATAGAGAGTATAACAGAAAGGGGGATAGGGAAGTAAAGAGTAAAACAGAAACAGGGATAGAGAAATAGAGAGTGTAACAGAAACACAGAGGGATAGAGAGAATAAAAAAGAAAGAGAGAGAGGGGGGACATAGGGAGTATAAGAGAAACAGAGAGAGGGACGTAGAGAGTAAAACAGAAAGAGATGTGGACGTAGAGAATAAAGTAGAAAAAGAGAGAAGGGCGAGGAGAGTAAAACATAAACAGAGAGAGGGACGTAGAGAATAAAACAGAACGAAAGTGAGGAAGGTAGAGAGTAAAAAAAGAAAAGAGGGAGAAGGACGTAGAAAGTAAAACAGAAAAAGAGAGAGACATAGTAAAACAGAAAGACAGAGCGGGACGTAGAGAGTAAAATAGAAACAGAGTGAGGGACATAGAGAGTATTACGGAAAGAGTCTGTCAAGCTCTAGATAAGAATGATGAAGCTCAGTAAATTACTTTGGCCATCTCGAAATCCTTCGACAGGGTTTAGCATACAGGTCTTCACAAATTTTAATTTTAATTTTTGATACAACTTGTTGACTTCACTATCTGGAACAGCTCTACCCCCGGGGGATATTGAAATGGATTATATTGTGTCTGTGGCGTGTAGAGAAAAGATATACGTGCTGTATGGGCAACTGTCAATCTCCCATAAAATTCTGTCCAGGTCTACGCTTGGAAGAGGACACTCTGACACTAGACACTGCAGCGGTGAAAAAGCAAAGAAATCCCAAAATCTGATGCTTATATTCATGATGCCTTTAAATTACAGATGCCGAACAATATTTGCAGCATAACTTCCGGTTGTGGCTGTTGGATGTCAGCTAAATTTGAGTTTTATGAAAACGTTTTTAAAGCAAAACAAACCAAAAGAGATTAAAGTGTCCAAAGTAAATTACTTGATCGAGAATGACTGAGATAGATAGACAGATAGATAGATAGATAGATAGATAGATAGATAGATAGATAGAAATACCACAATATGTACGAACAGAGCTATATACATATATGTATGTGTAGGTGTTAAGGACACCAAAAGCTATAAGTAAAATGTAAAATTGCTACAAAACATTTCATATTCAACATACGACATTCATTTGTTATTTACAAATGATTTCCAAGCCAAATGTTTCCGCCAGTATAAACGTAACCGTTTCCACATTTTACTAATCTTCAATCATGAAAATAAATAACGTCAATTTACCAATCGTCAGTCGGGGGCAAATAAAATGAGTTATTTATATGGCGATATTTCGATAACAACCCCGTCTCTTTGTTAAGCAGTCTATTGTGCTGACCAAACGAGATAGATAGATAGATAGATAGATAGATAGATAGATAGATAGATAGATAGATAGATAATGAACAAGTTGAGATAGATAGATAGATAGATAGATAGATAGATAGATAGATAGATAGATAGATAGATAGATAATGAACAAGTTGAGATAGATAGATAGATAGATAGATAGATAGATTGATAGATAGATAGATCAAGCTGACATAGATAGATAGATAGATAGATAGAAAGATAGATAGATAGATAGATAGATAATCAAGTTGACATAGATAGATAAATAGATAATGAACAAGTTGACATAGATAGATAGATAGATAGTTAGATAGATAGATAGATAGATAGAAATCTTCCCTCCAAATTTGTTCTTGGTATATAAAATGTATATATCGTTATCCCATAGATAGATAGATAGATAGATAGACAGACAGACAGATAGCGTGTGTATGTGCAGCGTCGATTAGAATATTTAAGTTTTTATTTTTAGCGTGCCAATGTGATTTATCCTGCACAAAAAGTGTGGATCTGCAGCAACTATTATTATTATTATTATTATTATTATTATTATTATTATTTATCGGTCCGTGTATCTTTTCTGAAAACCGTGTCACTGTGTCAGATGACATTTTAATCCTTTAAACCACTGCGGATTAACGAATGACAGCATCCCCTTTTTACCTTGAGTGAATCTCTTTTAATACCAAGACTAAGGTTTTCCCATGGTTACCTACCACCTTCATACTCTTCTGTCTGTCTGTCTGTCTGTCTGTCTGTCTCTCTCTCTCTCTCTCTCTCTCTCTCTCTCTCTCTCGCTCGCTCGCTCGCTCTATTTCTTGAACAACTATTAGCATAAATCACTGTTGCCCAGTAGAAGTTTTTTTTTTTTTTTTAATCATATTAAATTACACTGATTACACTCTTTGTCGTCTCTCAAACTAAAATCTCGGTTCACCTGTACAAATTTGGTCGACAGGAACTCAACAATTCCGAGCAGGAGAAAATCATTTATCAACATGAAACTTTTCTTTCTGTATAAAATGAATCAAATAAAACCTGGTTTTAAGAATTGAAAAAAAAAAAAGGTGTCTGGGTGATAGACTCGGAGGAGAAATTGTAGAGCCGCGTACGAATTTCAGTCGAATTTCATTAGCATACCTTTGCGCAAATAACTTTGGGAAAAGTATGTATACGACACTTCTCCACCCCCTAGCTATGGGTTAAATATTAGGACAAACAGGCCTCTGCAGTCTTGCGCGGCTACATGTCTAAGAGAAAGAGAATTCAACACCGGATGTGCATAGAGCTAACAACTCCATCACTTGAAAAAAATACTACAGTAGCAATGCGTTGCGTGTTGTGGCTGTGACCTCATGCGCCACAAAGACGAGGGAGAGCGAGAGTAAGAGAGATTTTACTGTTAAAGGATTATTTACGTTTCCAAACTCGCCTTTAGATATTTAGTCCTTTATAAATGTAACTTTTTTTTTTACTAATGTTGGCCCAATAAAAGGCTCAAGAGCCACTTCAGGTAGAGGGTTAATGAATAAGGTCGTTGTATGAGCGGTAAGAGTAGAAGGTAATGAATACATTTTATGAGGACACATGGGATAAATAATAATGTTGTAGTGATCAGGAAAGTATCCACTCGGGAGTCCGTTTCACAAAGAAACTGTTGTTGGAAAGTGTTGTAGCATACCTACGGACGAAAACGGTTATGTCGCCATTCACATAAATACAGTAGTAAATACTGTATGCTGGTCTGCAGTCGGAGATTCATCTCCAGCTGTGCTGGTCAAACTCTCTGCCTCCGGGCAGAGAGGATCCCCAGACGAGGCTATGTCGAAGGACAGGGTCTCGCCCCGGGAAACAGATACTCGACCCCGTTTTATTCAGGGTCTACGGGGAATTTTTGGCCTAGTCTACGGGCTCAGATACCCTACATTAAATTCGACCTTGTGCCACATCTGTCCACGTGGGGTGGTTGGTAGATATCCTGCAGTTGGAGATTCATTGTGGAATTCACTTGACTCACCTCAAGCAGTCGACTACTTCGACGCGCCGCTGGCGAATCTTATATGTGTTGTCCTTGTCCCAAATATTATCGTACATTACCAACCTTCGTTTGATTATACTATTCAATAATTTTCCTTGGTTACAACAGAAAGAATCTGAGTGGAACTTCCTCCTTACTAATGGAATGTAGTATACGTAGCAAAGTGGGTCTTAGCTGTGAATGTTAGAACAGGTGTAAGTAAGGAATTTACCTCATCAAAACCCTTGACATGGAAATAGCGATAGAGTGACGAGAGGCTTGCGACGTTTTGTCTGTGGAAAAAGAATTGCAGGGTGGAAAGCAATTCATCATCCACAAGGCTGCGTAGATGCATTTCTATCAAAACCAGCAAGTGGGGTCCGGACAGCTCTAGCCCAGCAGTCCTCCATTATTGGTCTGATCTGACTCCAGAACATTTTCAAATAGATAAACTAAGTGGAATAATGAAGTTTGGAAAACATTAAACCACGTGACTGATTTTGGCTGAAAAGGATTTACGTATGTGGGATTACCCCACATTGTCCGCCACCGGACATTTCTTAATGCCCACTAGGTGGCGGTGTATAAAGCAATAGAAAAATAAAGAACCCTCTCCTCTCTCTCTCCCTCTCTCCCTCACTCTCTCTCTCTCTCTCTCTCTCTCTCTCTCTCTCTCTCTCTTTTCAATCATAGAATGTTGTAGTAACAAGACGTGTCTCGTTCCCTCTCTAGGTGGCTTCTTAGCCCCACCCGTCGAAACCATATGTAGTATACGATTCCCAACATTATCTCTTACACGAAGATCACATGCGACTAAAATAATATTTCCACGATAACCTATCACATAGATTTATATCACTCTTCAGCACAAGAAAATATCCCAGTTCAACAAGCGAGACAAAGGCTCTACAAAATGATGACTCCTGCTACAAAGCAGTCATCGAATGCCATTACAAGTTTCTTCTTCTTCTTCTTTTATGTTCCGTATCACTTCAGAACGTAGGCGATCATGCCTCTCTACATCTTCCTATTGTAGCTCTTAATAAGTTTTGTCTTTTACCCCAAACCCTGTTCTGACATCCAGTATGTTACGCGCTGCTTTCCTTTGTCCATCAATCTGTCCCATGAGTATCAAATTTTCCAAGCCCTCCTTCCTCATTACGCACCCCAGAAATTTCAACTGCCTTTTCCTGATGTTAAATATAAGTTTCCTTTTTGTTTCCATTTTCTCCAATACCTCGTCGTTACTCACATGTTTGGTCCATGGTATCCTCAGCATCTTTCTGTTGCTTCAGGTCTCTTCTTCATCTTTGAGGAGATTGTCCTGCATTCGCTCCCATACAGAGGTACAGATATCACCTAACCGTACAATACTCTTTTCTTTGTTTCTAATGAATTTTTTCTGTCTCTGTTTGGCTTTTGAAATGTATCTTTGGCCATCCCAATACGTCTTCTTATAGAAACCCATTGTCAGCAACATTCTTACAGTAGAAGGGTAATAATTTGCTGAATGAATGGATCTTTCTTTCTCCCCCTCTCTCTACCCATCTCTCTCCCCCTCTCTCTCTCTACCCATCTCTCTCCCTCTCTCTCTCTACCCATCTCTCTCTCTTCCCTCTCTCCTTTTCTGAGATATGTTACATTTAGTTTTGTATGTAAATTTATATCTAAAATCTACGTATGTTTTTAAATTCACTTATTTTGAAAATGTATTTAAAACTAGAAATCCCTATTATATATAGTCTTTAACGGTTTAACAGTAACTAATACTAGTGTGTCCTGGGTATGACGATAAACTACACCCGGTAACAATGTATTGAGGAGCGTGGAACCACCTCTTAAATGCTGTTTTTCCAAGGTCCACCCTACCCCGGAGTGATAGCACCGGTTTTGACTCCAGCTATGGGAAAATAGTTAACCCATAAATTAGAGTCAAAACCACATATGAAAGCATAAAGATAGGTTTTAATACCAGCGATACATTTTTGAAAAAGAAAAAAATTGTTACCAGAAATAGTATTTTTGAAAAGAAAAGAAATATTACCAGTAATACATTTAAAAAAATAATATTACCAGCAATAAAAATCCTGTCGGCATTAAATAACCCATTGAGACTGGTGTGCCGTAAAACAGACCAAACCAAACACTAGTGATCGAACCCACTACAAAATAAATGCAATATCCCAATATCCATTATGACCTAATTCATTTTGGGCGTTTTAATAAAATAAGCTGAACTTCGTAAACATAGGCTTCTGTAAAAACTGAAGTTTAGAAACAACGACAAACAAGGCGACTCCGGCGATAAAGTTAGCGGACGACAAGAAGTGAAAATAAACCAGCTGAGTTGTGAGAAAGGAGGAAGTTTAATACTGGGAATGTCTGCTTCCATTCACAAAAATACCACACATTATTGAGTGATTAGCCACCAACTGCTGCCGGAAGGATGTCATTCAGTCGTCTTGCTTGGCTAAAAGTTACATTGAACAAGACATATTTCTTAATGAACCAGAACTACTCGGTATAGTCCGGAATTTAGTTGGGAAAACATTTTTTTTAATGAATTTGAATTGCAGATATCATAAAACTCCTCCCTGTAGTTTTTTTTCTTTTCTTTTTTTTTTCTGCAGCTCCAACACAATTCACTTCAATAAATTTGTGTCATTCAAAAAAAGTATGATAGTGGTCGATAGTTCGTAATCGTCTGCTTTTTGTCATGTGATAATATATTTCCTTTAGCATGCGACATCTGAAGCTAACTTAAGTTTCGCCATAGTAAATCAATTTTTTTTTGACAGAAGAAAATATGAATTTGAAAAAGAATAGATGATTACGTGGAATAATCATCTGGAAAGTGTTTACCAAATTACTATCGTCCTGGGTAAAACGATAAACTGCATTCAGCAGCAAGGCCTCTGATCAGGAGGTTTTGAGGAGCGTGGAACCACCTCTTAATTTCTTGTGTTCCCAGGTCCACCCTGACCTGGGGTGGTAGCACCTGTTAGGGTCCCAGCTATGGGCAAATAGTAAAACAAAATAAACCAAACCAAACCAGATTACTAATAAATGGCTACCCATGAACTCGTTCAGTACCCGTTACTTCACAGACTGCCAATTTTAAATCAAAATTTGAATAAAGATGTCATAAAAACGGACTTCCAAGAGCTGCACATTTTGGTTTATATTCTTTTCATGTTACTCAGAGTTTTGATCTCGCGACACAAATGTCCATTTTAATTTCGTTCAAATTGTGCGTCTATGTTTATCCATGAATTTTTTAATTCAGCGACAGGCCTAAAAATATTTTTACACAATTAAGAACGGAATGGACTTTTCATTTATTTATCCAACGTATTTCTAATTTCTTTGATTAAACGTTATTTTTTAATGGATGCTCATATTTGAATAGATGCTCTGTTTTTATTTATTTATTAGCGAATGTTGAATGGTCTCCTCAAAGACGAAGAAGAGACTCGAGACAGCGAGAAAGATGCTAAGAATAAGCGGGTGATCAACGATGAGGTCTTAGAGAGGATGCAAACAAGGAGGAAGCTTATACTTAACATAAGAAAGAGGTAGATGAAACTTCTAGGGCACGTAATGAGAAAGGAGGGCCTGGAGAATCTGATACTCACAGGTCGATTAGAAGAAAAAAAGAGACAAGGGAAAGCAACGCATGACATACCCGGCGGGCTTAAGCAAGTGGATGACAGAACGTGGTCTGGGAGAGTTGGTAGAGGCACGAAACTTATTTAGAGCTACAAGGGATAGGAAGAAGTGGAGAGCCATGATCGCCTACGTCCTGAAAGGACACGGCGTATAAAAAGAAAAAGATATTTATCCATTTCCATCTACCGGCCTGAATATTTCCAGAAATCTTGTTAGCCGGAGGTGGGGGGCGTATATTTTTCTAAAAAGATTTTTCGAAATATTCAGGCAGATAGATGGAAATGGATGAATATACAGTTAAATAAATAAATAAAAACAGAGCATCTACTCAAATATGAGTATCCTTTAAAAAATTTACATTTAAATAAATAAATTAGAAAAAATAAGAAAATAAACGCTAAAAATAATTTTATTTATTATCAAATATTTTTTTTTAAATTCAATAAAGTCTGATAATTATTTGATATTTGGGGTTAAAAAAATAAAATGGTTTTCATCAAGAAATTAGTAATATTCCATCTTCTTCCACTGTCATTTTTACCTCTATTTACTTTTTGTACCCATCTTTTATCTTCTGTGTCCCTTCAGGGCGTAGGCGATCATGGCCCTCCACATCTTCTGTCCCTTGTAACTCTTAATAAATTTTGTTTCTTTCTTATTTCTCCTAAACCCGATCCTACCATCCATTTACTCAAGCCCATCAAGTATGTTACATGCTGCTTTCATTTGTCTTTCTTTTCCTCAATCTGTCCTGTGAGTATCAGATTTTCCAAGCCCTCTTTCCTCATTACGTGCCCCAGAAATGTCAATTGCTACTTCTTGATGTTGAATATAAGTTTCCTTTTCGTTTCCATTCTCTCCAAAACCTCGTCGTTGCTCACATGCTCGGCCCATGGTATCCTCAGCATCTTTCTGTAGAACTACATTTCTGTTGCTTCAGGTCTCTTCTTCATCTTTAAGGAGATTTTTCCTGCATTCGCTACCATACAGGAAGACAGATATCACGTCACAGTTCAGTGCTCTTTTCTTTGTTTCTAACGCTCGCCATAAGTAATAGACTGGACGCTGATTTTGCTGTCATCTCGAGGCTGACAGACACCAATAAATGGATCAAAATGAACTAATAACGACATATGACAGACATGAATAGACTTATAGCAATCAATAAAAACGGATTAAAACAATTTATCAATAACTCTCAGAAAAAGAAAAACTCATTATTTTTATTTAAGTACCTCCACTTTGTCGCTGAAAAAACAGCTTCTCATGATGATAATAGGCTATAAATTTTATCAAAACAAAGTCAAGCATTTTATCGTCAAAATGTTTATGTTATTATTAAAAGGAAAGATCAAAGTATTTTCTATTATTTTATTAAATTTTCAATCCTTTCTGGCATGGTCGAAATTTTCGGTAAACATTTCGTTTTTTGCGTCAGCAGTTCACTTAAATTTTACTATTGGTGTTTCAGTGCCTTTTTTCCTGGTTTAGTAAAACATGGCTACTGTCGATTAAAAACACAGCTACTGTTTGATTTAAAAATACATTTCTGTGTTATTTTAAACTTGAAATAAATAATATTTGTTTCAAATCAGATTAATTATACTTTAAATCAGCTAATATTACACAAATAAAGTTTCAGAAAAGTATATTTTATTTTTGGAAGATTTTTTAATGCAGAGAATTACATTGCCTTGAAAAACGACTAAAAAGGGCGCTAGTCTTTTTTTTTTTAAATTGTTTGAAATACAACAGTGTATTTTGCTTACTGGAAAATAGTAAATTTAATCCCTTAGCTTTCAATTAAATCTAAAACAGAAGCTTCAAAGAAGTTTTTTCATTTTTAATAATTTCTTATACAATTTAAGTATCATGAATTAGTAGAGGTCCCTAATTAAATAGTAATTGTAATTCTCTTACACACAACACAGGCAGACGCATATACATTACATACACATCAGCATATATATATTTTTTTTTTTGTAACATAGATGATATTTATATCAACACCGACAATAAAGGCAACTGTGCCACATACCAGCTCGGTCTACACAACATTAAAGTCATAGCCCGGTTAACGTTCGTGACTCGTTCCTAGAAATAAGACACTGCACAAAATGAAACTGCTGTACAGAGTCATTATGACATAGCATAAATAGGCTTCTTTAAACATTTATGCAAATACAAATAAAGATAGTATCACCAAATGACTCATAGGTATAATGGAAAGAGAAACAAATGACTCATAGGTATAATTAGAAAGAGAACAAAAATAGACAGTTCTTCTCTGTTCTCCAAGGCCCACTATACGCATTAGTACAGCCATAATATACTAACACCTTAACACGACGAAAGGAAGAACTAGAATAAGACAAACCAATTCGAAAAATTAAATATTCAATGAACATTTTATATACAACACCAATATAGGATATACTAAAATGCAATATATATATATATATAAATATAAAAGATATAAAATATACGATATTCTAAAATGAAGGACATTAATACATATAATTGTATATTTGGACAGCAATCCCTCTTTTATACAATTTTCATTAAGAACGACTGACAAGGTACTTATATTCGAGTATTCGCTTTGTTTATTTATTAAACGGTATATTTATTTTCGTCTACTGAACTGAATATTCGAGAAATCTTATTAAATTAAAATATGCGCTTTCCGGCAGGATTCGAACCTGCGTCATACTGAAGGAAACGGTCATTAGATTCGACGTTCCTTAACTGACTCAGCCACGGAGAAGCTTTGACATTCAAGCAAAAACTGAACAGTGTTTACTCAAATATGTGTATCCACTAAAAACAATGTTTACAATGACAAAAATCTGTCGGATTAATAATTTTAAAAAATGGATAAATTCTTTAGAAAATTATATAAACACTAGAGTTCTATTTAACTTGAATTACTGAAAACATCTCTCTCCCACTATCAACCTCACCTTGTTTAACAACAGAATCGGCATACTCCCACTCCTACCAAAAGAAAAAAATGTAAGAACGCTTCAAAAACTAAATAAAAATTAATAAAATTTTCCTTGTCCGACATATTTAACAAAAAATGTTTAAAAGAAAGGCTGCTGCTCAATTATGCATTAATCATGTGTGTGTGTGTGTGCGTGTGTGCGTGCGTGTGTGCGTGTGTGTGTGTGTGTGTGTGTGTGTGTGTACACGTCACAAATTCTCCAGCACAGAGAAATCAGAACACATATAAAAATAGGCCAGCATTATGGGAAGGGGATAAATAAAGAGATCTTTTTGAAACATAATTAAGAAGGATATTGAATAGGTTGTGGTATCTTATATATATATATATATATATATATATATATATATATATATATATATATATATATATATAATCATGGGAATTGTTACTGTTCACCATGATCTGCCGAACGGCAACGGGCTACCGTCCCCGTCGTGAACTAATTAGCAACGGACTGTCATGTGACACTCAGGGGCCCCATAAGACATTAATCAATTCCGCTTGCCAAAAGGGAGAGAATCTGCATCCCTACCAATGAAAAATATGAACCTGTTAATAGACTTCAAATTTGGCGAGAAAATTAGCTGTATGCGTGAGTATGCATGAGTGTGAATCATCGTTTCTTTCCTGTGTACATTTGTGCTCTGTCTATTTACATTTCTGAAATGATGTATTGTATTTACATTGTTCGGACTGTTGAAATCATCGATACA